CACGGTGAACACACAGTGAACACATACAGTGAATACATACACGGTAAACACACAGTGAAAACACAAACAGTGAACACACACACAGTGAACACACACAGTGCATACATACACGGTGAACACACAGTGGATACACACAGTGAACACACACATGAACACACACTGAACACACACAGTGAACACACACACAGTGAACAAACACATGGTGAACACACATGGTGAACACACACATGGTGAACACATACAGTGAATACATACACGGTGAACACAGCGAAAACACCCACAGTGAACATACAGTAAACACAGACCCCAAGAGGAGCATGGAGGAAATGCAGCAATGTCAGGGGCTTGAGAAGGACCAGCGCTTCCCATTCTGTCATCTTCTCTTTTTTTTTTTTTGAGACAGAGTGTTGCTCTGTCACCCAGGCTGGTATGCAGTGGTGCGATCTCAGCTCACTGCAACTTCTGCCTCCCAGGCTCAAGCAATTCTCCCGCCTCAGCCTCAGGAGTAGCTGGGATTACAGACTTGCACCACCACGCCTGGCTAATTTTTTATATTCTTAGTTGAGACAGGGTTTCACCATGTTAGTCAGGCTGGTCTCAAACTCCTGGCCTCAAGTAATCCACCCGCCTCGGCCTCCCAAAGTGCTGGGATTACAGGCGTAAGCCACTGCACCCAGCCTCTGTCATCTTCTCTTAAATAACTACTTGGTTCATCACAGAAATGTCGCTAAATGTAAGAACCAGGGCTTCGTGTGATGGCGAGGCCTGACCACATCACGTAAGCTTGGGGTGTTTTCCTTGCGCAACAGCTACAGAGAGAGGCTGGCCATGGTGGCTGTGACTTAGGGAAGTGCAGTGGACACAGCCAGGGGCTCTCAGGTCCTCAGCCTGCCACCTGGGGGCCGGGACTGGGCAGGGACGGGGGTAGGGCGGGGGTGGGCTCGGCGTACCTGCCAGGTCCCGGGCATACTGCTCCCTCGAGCGGTCCATCTGGCACTTGTGGCTGGCCAGCACCTTCTTCACCAGGTCCAGCATGCCGAAGTTCTGCACAATGTTGTTGAGGAGTACGGCATCTTAAAGGGCAACGCGCACACTCAGTGAGAACCCGGTCCCTTCCCAGAGAGCCAGAAGGCCACCACGGGGGCAGCTCCCCAGGAACCCGGCCAGCTAGAAGCCCGGCTCAGAGGGCAAGGACTGAGACACACTGAGGCCATCCTCCCACTACCCCGAGTTCAGCCTCAGCAACAGCAGGGTTCCCAAGCCCAGATCCAGCCTCCATCCCAGCAGCACAGGAGTACAGACACTCCTGGGCCAAGGAGCCAGCAGAGGAAAGAGGCAGCTCCTCACCTCGAAGCTGCAGGGGAGGGTCCTGGACCCGCTGCTGCAGGCCTCTCATGGTCTCCATCAGCTCCTGGTGGAACTCCTGGATGACCTCGTCTAGCAGGCCAGCATCCTTCAGCCCCCGCCAGAAGGTAAATGTATCATCTGTGAGGGAAGGAGTGGGCTCAGTGGGCAGGGAAAGTGGTGCCACACAGGGCAGCCACGAGGACCACACTGGAGCTGGCAGCACCTGGCACTAAGCTGGGCTTGCACTGCCCAGACACATCCACAGCACTAAAATCTGGCAGGGCAGCCACAGCGCTCAGCCTCAGAGCGCCCGGGACAACGGTAGCGGCAGCCAGACCTTTCTCCGTAAAGACCCCACTGGCCACACCTGGATTCCTGAAGCCCCTGTGTGGCCTCAGGCAGGCAAAGACCCCACCACCCCGCCAGGACTTGTGAGAAGCCCATGAGGAGGAACCTTGTACCTCCGATGGCAGCAGTCCAGTCACCAGGGTCTTCACAGGTCTCTATGGTGATGGTCGCAGGAGACCCATTCACTGCAGCCGAAAGGGAAGCTTGGTGAGTGCTGTTTGACCGCAGCCCCACACCCCACATACCCTGCCCGCCCTCCTCACACCACCTTCTGAACCTGCCCACCATCTGTTTTCACAAAGCTGACAAATACAGGACATACACTAGTACAGCCACAGCATGCGCCTGCCTTGTATTTTACATCTACTTCAGTCACAGACGTTGTCAAAGGAGAAAGAAGGCAAAAAGAAACCCCTTGAACCCATCACCCAGTTCCAACGATCCTCAACAATCTACTCTTCTTGTCCCTCTATGACTTTACTCAACAAGCACTTTCCACTTGACCAACAGGAGCGAGACAAGGTGATTCTTCCACCTGACGAGAGCCTGGAATCCTGCTCTGCGGCCGGACCTGTCACCCGTGGGGCCGCCCTCACCTCGCCTCTACTTGTGACGCTTCATTGACGTCACCATAAATCTCAGTAGCTATCATGCTTCCATTCTTCTAAACCTGAACAGGTGGGGCTCTGAGGGACAGAACCTGTTCTGGCTCTTCTCGTGGGTGTCTCTCTAGTGCCTGCAGGACACAACCAGGCGTGTGGCTCATATTTGGTCCTTTCTGGCAGTTTCTGATGGAGACTTTATACACAGATCCAGCTTAAAAAACAAACCCAGAAGCAGTTTAATATTTTGGTAAGCTTTTCAATATTATGCTGGCCTTTTCCACACTCATCAAAGACATAGCAGTGGTGATTATTATTTATTAATATTGTATACCTGGAATTATTTAGTTTGGGCTGATACACCATCTTTTACTAACTGCACAGTAGCCAAGTCAATGGTTTCTAGAGATTTCAGGTTAAAAAACCCGAATCATCCTCGGAAGAGCTGAGCCTCAGCCTGGCTATGAGGCACTGACTCCAGGGTATGGAAGGCCCAGTCCCTTCCCCGGCAGGCGGTCACGTGGAGCCAACGCTAACACAATGGATCCGCTGGGGAGGCCCCGAGGAGGACAGACAGGAGGCTGGGCTCCACCCTGTGCCAGCCCCCAGCAGTGCCTGGCCACCCCTCCCCACACAGCCCTGCACTCCCCAGGTCTCCAGGAAGGGCCACGCCCTGACCACCCAGCGCCCTGGCCTTGGACCAGGTGTGAACTAAGTTACGCCACGCCCGATCCCTGCATACTAAGCACTGACTGAGGAAAGGGCAGGCGAAGGCCAGTCCCTCCCACAGCAGCCCAAGTGTCCTGGGTTTCCGAGGACTCAGCACTGAACCTGCCAGCCTGCTCTGGCAGGACATGGAAAAGGGCCCGGGAGAAAGGTGAGGCTCCTTGCTGCCCTGGCGTCACTCTCCTACCCAGCAGGGACAGGGTAGGACTTAACCGAGCCCCACCTGGGCCAGCAACAAGGATGTCCCTGGCACACAGGAACAGGCTCTGGCCAGCACTGCGGAGTGACAGCTTAGGGACAATGCACGTGACATTGCTGGAAACACGACATCACCAAAGACCACTCAGTGACGTGACCGGGGAACCAAGGACCTAACTTCACTTTAACTTTAGTTTGTTTTTTGTTTTAAGACGGAATCTCATTCTGTCGCCCAGGCTAGAATGCAGTGGCACAATCTCTGCTCACTGCAACCTCCGCCTCCCAGGTTCAAGCGATTCTCCTGCCTCAGCCTCCCGAGTAGCTGGGATTACAGGCGTGCACCACCACACCCAGCTAATTTTTGTACTTTTAGTAGAGACAGGGTTTCACCATGTTGGCCAGGCTGGTCTCAAACTCCTGGCCTCAAGTGACCCACCCACCTCGGCCTCCCAAAGTGCTGGGATTACAGGCGTGAGCCACCGTGCCCAGTCCAATTTTAGTTTTAAGAAAAATTTCTCTATTCATAAAGCTGGAACTAATTCTAGGGAATAACCTTTCCACGATTTAGAGCTACAGACACCAACACGGAAGAATATCTAAGCCATCACCCAAAAACCCAAGTGGCAGGAATGCCTGCAGCAGGACGCTCAGCAGGGAAGGATTCCGCAAGTGAGGAGGCGGGTCCAGATTTGGGGCTGGGCTGTGGGGGTGGGAGGGGCCGGATGGGGGCCCAACCACTCTCTGTTACTCGCTATACCCTTCCCCACATGTGAGTTATTATATTACAATGAAAACGGCTTAAAAAGAAAAGTGCTGCAAGCTTCCTTGTCAATGAAAGCAGCAATTCGCCAGATCTCCCCAGTGAGGGAAGAGGCGGCTGATCCCAGATGCTTTGGGGCCCCACGCAGGAGACCAGCGGCCCTGGAGTGAGCAGGGGCATGTCACCCTCTGTGGCCGTGCCAGAGCAGGGCTGGGTCAGGATAAGCAGCCCTGGGCACCTACCGTCGGCCGCAGCGGGTGTGAGGGGGATGTACTCGGCTGACGTGGGGCTGCTCAGGGACACTCGGGCTCCTGAGAGGTCGATCTTGGTGCTGCGGCAGGTGTTGGAGCAGACCTTGTCATGCTGGTAGAAGTCCAGTTCCCCGGAGTCCATGATCTTCCTGTGGCAGAGGGTGGTATGGAACATCCAGGTCGGCCCCAGAGCTGAAGGCACCTGGCTCGCCCGCCCTGACCTGGGCCATCCACCTGCGTGGGGCAGTCCTAGCAAAGGCGCTGGCAGCTCCACAGGGCAGGGTGGGCTCCGTTTCCCTCTCAGTGCAAGCTCGGCGTGCAGGACCCTGCTGTGGGGAAGCAGCCGGCCCAGCCCCACACCAAGGCACTGTCCCCAGGAAGGAGGCGAGCACTGGCCAGCAGGTGTCCTGGAGGCACTTGTCAAGACTCTGGGGGGCTGAGCCTTTCTGGGACATCCCACTGCCCCAGCCCCAAGGGAGTGACCCACAGCTAACAAAGGTGGGCCCGGCCAACCTGCATATGTGTGACTCATTCTGAGGCAGAGGAAGGTGGGAAATCACTTCCAGGAGAAGCCTTCCTCCTTCTAAAGGCACAGAGACAGCAAAGGAGTGTGATGTGGGCACAGGAGAGCACCAGCAGCCATGACTGCCTCTCATCCTCATCTTTACCAAGAAAGCTTCACACAGCCCAAACTGCTGAGACCTGCCCTCCCATGGCCTTCTCTTCTGCCTCTCTGGAGGTCCAGGGTTTCAGCCCTGTGTGTCTCAATGAGCCTGCCTCAACCCATGAAGCAAAGGTCAGAGGCTCCAGCCTCACTCAATCTTTGGGCAGCACCGACCTCAGGCACACACAGGGTGATGCTTCCGTGGTCAGCTCAGGACATGCCTACCTGGTTGGTGGCCCCCACAGCTCTGTCACCAGCCATATTCCAGAAAATCAGAGGCCAGCTCAGCGGGACAGAGCCTGAGCCATGGGAAAGGACCCAGAGCCAGTCACCCATGAGGCCTCAAACTCTGATTCCGGCACAAAGCAAGGGCCCTCCTGAAGAAGTAGGTGGAGGCCAGGGCCACACAGACCAAGACTGTGGCTCATGATTCACAGATAAAGTGAAGGCCAGGTGCGGTAGCTCACGCCTGGAATCCCAGCACTTTGGGAGGCTGAGGCACATGGATCACCTTAGGTCAGGAGTTCAAGACCAACCTGCCTAACACGGCAAAATCCCGTCTCTACTAAAAATACAAAAATTAGCCAGGTGTGGTGGTGTGTGCCTCTAATCCCAGCTACTTGGGAGGCTGAGGAGGAAAATCACTTGAACTCAGGAGCGGAGATCACACCACTGTGCTCCAGCCTGGGCAACAGAGCAAGACTCTGTCTCGGAAAAAAAAAAAAGTGATGGGACAGAAATAAGAACATAAAAGGCAATGCTAAGAGGTTAAATTCGGCTGCCAATCTGATGCACAAATGCCAGGCCATACATTTCTTTTTTTGTTGTTTTCAGAATTCATAATTGGAACAGATCCTTTTGTTTCTCTTTTGGAGACAGTCTCACTCTGTAACCCAAGCTATGCTGCAATGGCATAATCACAGCTCCCTGCAGCCCTGACTTCCAGGCTCCAGTGATTCTTTCATCATCTCAACCCACTGAGTAGCCGTGACCACAGGCATATGCCACTAAATCCAGATAATTTTTTTTATTTTTATCAGAGATGAGGTCTCACTATGTTGCCCAGGCTGGTCTCAAACTCCTGGCCTCAAGTGATCCTGCTGCCTCAGCCTCCTAAAGTGCTGAGATTACAGGTGTGAGCCACCGTGCCCAGCCAACCCTTCATTTTCTAACAGTGAAACAGCCACAAATGCCTTCAGGTAAAGAATTGGTGGAAATTAAAATGATACTGACAAAACAATCCTAGAAATCTGATAGTGCCCTGTTGGTATGGTATGGGTGTGGGAGGCGAGTTTACTGTTTTGGGTGTGAGCAGGTGCAGCCACCCGGGAGGCTGTCGGCACTCAGCACATCCAAAATACGCCTCATCTTCAGAATCCCAAAACCCCACAAGAAAGCAGCAGCTGCCAGGGCTCCTTCCACCAGAGGCTGACCCCGGCGCAGCACCCACCTGAGCATGATGCCATTCATGCGGATGGCTCTCTTCCAGTCCTTCAGGGTGGACTTCCCGGCCAGGTGCACGAACTCCTTTGGGCTGATCACATGCTCGTCATACTGTGGGGGACACAGCCGTGGGGGTCAGGGCCAAGACACCACACAGGCTGCCCGCCTCTCCTACCCGACCCTGAGTCAGGAGCGCGTGGCGGGAAGAGTGCCACGGCACAGCTCTGACCACCGCAGGTCTTCTACAGAGCATTCAGGTGAAATGAGAACATGCCCCAGAGGCACTGTGGCTGCAGTGGGGAGTGGCCGCGTCCTCCAGCCCTGAGGGGGCCGAGATGCTGTGTGCCTGGGGCTAGGCAGGGCTGGGCTGACCACACCAGGCAGAAGGTGCGTGGCCTTCTTTTCCTCCAGACAGACTAAGCCGACTGCTTCTGTGCAATGTATTTTAAATACACATCATTGCATACGTTACATCAGAGACAGCAACAGATGCCAGAGCATGAACTGAGCTGTGAACGATGCCTTCCTCAGCCCCCTCCTGATACCACCTTGCCCGGCACCTGCTCTCACTGTGACACACACATACATCTAAGCCAGGGAACCCTCCTGCTTGCCAACTTCACCCATGTGGGAGCTCAGAGAACCTGAGAAGGTAAAATATCCTATTTAATCTTGTTACACAAGCAATTACTGAAACCAAAAACTGCAGTTACTTAGAAAACAAGCAGTCTGGGAATGGAGGAGTCACAGGGTCTCGTCAGCGGGACCCAGGCACAGGAGCTGTCTCTACCCTGGGGCCGTGATCAGGTCGAGCTTGCTGAAAGAAGCGATGCTCCCAGTCTCTGAGCATCTGCACACCCACACATGACCTTCACGCCGCAGATGAGAAAACTGAGCCCAGCCAGTCTCTAGCTCTCCTCATGTAGCTAATCAGGGAGATCAGACAGAAGCCCAGGCAGATGGAGTCCAGAAGACCCCTCTGGCCACTGCCTGACCCTGGCAGGAAGCCTGCACCAGCTGTGATGGAGGCTGCCTCCGGCCATCACCTCTGCCCACTCGGCTCACACATAGGAAACTCAACTGCACTCAGTGAGCCTGGTCCTCCCTAGAGCCCTAGACTCAGCCAGGCTTGCCTTCCCACCTCCCATGCCTGCCTCTTTCCTTTCCTGTTACTCTCTCGTCCAGGTTTCCTCTCACAGTGAGGAAGCTACATGCTGTCCTCTCCTGAGCGGCTCCAGGCGCTTAAGTGTCACATTTACCTGGGCTGCCAGAGCCCAGAGCTAACACGGCCTGCTCCTGACCCTCCAGACCACGCCCATGTGGCCCTGCTCTCATCTCTGAGGCCCTGCGGGGCACCTCTATCAATGCTGATTTACCCACATTTCTCCCGACTCCTCACACCTTCTCATATCACCACACTTCCACCTGGAGTCCCCTTGTCTCCACCTGAAATGCACATTCAGAACATTCTTCAGCCATGATCTGCTGGTGGCAAACCCGTGTTTTTTCCTGAAAATGTCTTTTTTCCAGCTTAATTTTAAAGACAACCTCACAGTGTCAGCGCTCTCTGCACAGCGAGGCTCTGGCACCAACACTTCTGCTCCTGGGCTGTTTTCAGGAGCTCACACTGGCGGGATTCTTGCTCCTGAGTGAACCGTCTCTCCTCTCTGGCTAGATTTATGGTCCTCTCTGTCCCGGCCATTCTGGAATTTCATTATGATGTCACCTATGGTATACTTCTTTTGTGTTTCCAACTTCCTAATCCTGATATAATTTCAAACTCAGGTGAATTTCCAGCATAGTCCAGGGAGCTCTCGAATGTGCGTTCCCAGACCCACTGGCTGCTCCCGTCTGCCCCTTGCTCCCTTGCCCCCAGCTAGAGCTGTGCGTGTGCAGCTACTGAGGGCGAGGCAGAGATGCCGGCTCCTGGGCCCTCAGCACGTGCGTCCATTTCCTAAGAACAGGTTCTCTTATACAGCCACAGAACGACGCACATCAGGAAGTTATCATTCATATATTATTCTCTAATCCCTTGTCCACATTCAAATTCATGAATTCTCTCAATGATAGCCTTTATTGTAAATTATTGTGTTTTTTGTTTGTTTGTTTGTTTGTTTGAGATGGAGTCTCACTGTTGCCCAGGCTGCAGTGCAGTGGTGCAATCTTGGTTCACTGCGACCTCCAACTCCCAGGCTCAAGGGATTCTCTTGCCTCAGCCTCCAGAGTAGCTGGGAATACAGGCACATGCCACCATGCCCAGTTAATTTTTCATAAAGATGGGGTTTCACCACGTTGGCTGGTCTGGTCTTGAACTCCTGATCTGAGATGATCCACCCACGTAAGACTCCCAGAGTACTAGGATTACAGGCGTGAGCCACCATGCACGGCCCGCATTTTCTGATGCAGGATCCAGCCCAAGACTGTGGTACATACAACTGCTGTGCTCTTCAGTGACTGTCACCATTAAGACGGAGCAGCAGGCAGGGCGTGGTGGCTCATGCCTGTAATCCCAGCACTCTGGGAGGCCAAGGTGGGCGAGTCACCTGAGGTTAGGAGTTCAGGGTCAGCCTGGCCAACATGGCAAAACCCCACCTCTACTAAAAATACAAAAATTAGCCAGGGAGGGTGCTGGGCGCCTATAGTCCCAGCTACTCAGGAGGTTTAAGCACAAGAATCACTTGAATCCAGGAGGCAGATATTGCAGTCAGCCAAGATCATGCCACCACGCTCCAACGTGGGCGACAGAGTGAGACTCTGTCTCAAAAAAAAAAAAAAAAAAAGACAGAGCAGCTTCTTAGCCTGTGTCTAAGTCTGTATTGACGTCTATGGAGCTCGTGGGTCAGGTACTATGTAGGTTGTTCTCCGTGTGTGTCTGCTTTCTCATGAATAGAGGACGCTATGAACTGCTGGAAGAATAGCGTGGAACTCCTGCTCACTCCATCAGGAGGCTCCAGGGGTAGGTCTGTCCCGAGCCTGATGATGTGAAGATGGATCGCTGAGTTGAGGAGGCACCTGCCGGCTTCCCCACCACAGCTACGACTTCCCTCTGTAATGGCTGCGTGGTTTACCGGGATGCCCTGCAACTAGTCTGAGCACCTGCTTATGACTCTGACCCATCATTCCTCCCACACTTGTTAGCTGGTATCCTAAGAGCTTCATTTCTCTCTATGCATTTATTTAACATAAATAAATACCATTAAATTTATTGAGATAGGTGCGGACTTACAAGTCTTATTTTACTTGAGTGATAACTCATGACGATCACTATCTACTTGGACGTAGGCAGTGGGGTCTTCATGCAGGCTGGGGTCTGTCAGTGCCCTCGCGCTCACTGTGGACGGCTCTGTCCTCAGTTATGAAAGCTCTCCGTCTCTCTCCTCCTTCCAGAACTCTAATAGATGTGTTAGATTCTCATGGTTCCTGAATACATCAATTTCTTTTTTTTTTTTTGAGCTGGAGTCTTGCTCTGTCACCCAGGCTGGAGTGCAGTGGCATGATCTTGGCTCACTGCAACCTCCACCTCCTGGGTTCAAGCAATTCCCCTGCCTCAGCCTATCAAATAGCTGGGATTACAGGCGCCCACCACAATACCCAACTAATTTTTTTTGCATTTTTAGTAAAGACGGCGTTTCACCATGTTGGCCAGGATGGTCTCGAACTCCTGACCTCGTGATCCACCTGCCTCAGCCTCCCAGAGTACTGGGATTACAGGCGTGATCACCACACCGGCCTCTTTTTTTTTTTTTTTTAATTTAAGTAGAGACTAGGGTCTCACTGTTACCCAGGCTGCTCTTGAACTCCTGGGCTCAAGCAATCCTCCTGCCTCAGCCACCCCAAGTGTTAGGGTTAGGTGTAAGCCATGGTACCAAGCCTTTTTTATTTCTTAAATTACTAAATATTAATGATTTTATCTTCTAAGCTTTAAAACCCCAACACAGCTGAGCTGCTGCAAGGCCAACTCTGCTGCCTGTGGCTTCTGTGCATGCTCCAGGAGCGCTGCTTCTTATGTGTCCAGGGTTCCGCAGAAATTACTTGAAACTTGAGATAAAGGTGAATTCTTCCAAAAAGTATTTTTTGTTTGCTTCCGTCAGATTCCTGGGGGAACTGCCAGCTGGGAGGTACTGATAACTCTCAGCTTGAGGCTTTCAGACCAACAAGGCCACCTATGAATCCTACAGAGGGTGGTGTCCCCTTCCCTGTGCCGGGGACAGGAGATGCGGGAGTCCCAGTGCCAGGGAGAGGAAGTGTGGGTGGATTCGCCCCTTATCGGTGCGGGTGCCGGGGACAGGAGGTATGGGAGTATTCGGTGGATTCACCCTGGGAGGTGCCAGCTTGGAGGGGACAGTCCCCACCTCCCACCCAGCACACACGCCTCAAGGAGGCCCTGGGCTTTGTCTTCTGATCTCCAGCCCTGCAAGGCTGAGAAAACCAAGCTCAGGCCAAGGCTCTCAGGGCAAAAGCTGGACACAGCACCCATCTGTCTCTCAATTCTGTCACTGTTAGGTCCCCAGGCCCCAGCACTTCCTCTTTCTTAGCCCGTGTGAGGCATCATCTACAAGATGCTTTATGAAACTATCTTCCCTGGCATTTTTGGTTGTTCCAGCACAGGTGAGCCTGGGTATCTCACCTGTCAATGCTGCCAGAAAGAGAAGACCTTCCCCACTCGTCCTGCTCCTTACCAAGGAGGGAGCCTTTCTGGAGCAGATCTCACTGGATCTGCTGGGTAAAGCTCCTTGCCCAGGAGGGGCAGCCTCCTCCACACAGCAGGAGGGCCTCCCAGCTTCCCTGCCACAGCACACTGCGGCCACAGCGAGTTTCTCTTCCTGAAGGTTCTTCCCGCACCTCCTACACTCTCCCCAGCCCGGGAGACCCTGCCTCAGGATGCATTTGGCATCATAGCTGCACCCCCAGGGCAGACACAGATGCCATGAGGCCTCTCTCCTGGGCCCTGAATGAAGCCTGTGCTCACCTGAACACATTTCACATTGATGCCAGGACACACAAACTTCCTCCAGATGAGGTTGGCTCTGCTGTCCCCACAGGTGATAGGGTACACAATCTCAGCCTCCAAGTTCTCCCCCTCTTCAGCCATCTTCACTTCTCACAGGCACATTGACAAGAAAGGGTAAAAACAGAAAATCAGTTACAACCTCTCCAAAGTATTTCCTGAAAACGCAGAAAACAGCTACAAACCTGGAAACCAAAAATTAAAATCCAGGAAGGCCTGAGACAGAGCCAGGCAGGGTAGGCAGGGCATGCTCACTGGTGCCCTGTTATTTTGAGTTTCACGGTTAAACTCAGTAAACGATTTAAATATAGTTACATTAACAGAATTCCATTAAACTATGGTTAAACTGAAGAGCCACTTAAGGAAATAAAATCAAACATTAATTGAAAAAATTCTAGGGAAACCTAAGGTTTTAAAGGTTCAGGGCCTGTAATCTCAGGCAAAAGAAAAACATTAAGAGTGTCATAAAGAATTTTTACTGGGCCAGGCGAGGTGGTTCATGCCTGTAATCCCAGCACTTTGGGAGGCCCAGGTGGGTGAATCACCCGAGGTCAGGAGTTTGAGAACAGGCTAGCCAACATGGCAAAACCCCATCTCCACTAAAAACACAAAGATTAGCTGGGTGTGGTGGCATGCACCTGTAATCCCAGCTACTTGGGAAGCTGAGGCAGGAGAATCGCTTGAACCCGGGGGGGGGGCAGAGGTTGCAGTGAGCCAAGATCATGCCACTGAACAACAGAGTGAGACTCCCTCTCAAAAAAAAAAAA